CCAAAACAAACAAACAAACAAACTTTTTTGTAATTTTTATTAAAAGGTAAACGAACTAGTTCAGCTCTTACTCAGTAGGCGATTGTAATGTTTACCTTCTATCAGAAATCCCTTCAATCACACTTACATTAAATAACGAAAAATTTTTTAATAATTACACAGAGTATTCTTGCCTGTTAATTTTTGTTTTCCGTTGACATGTTTGAGATCTTTAACTTGATAATTATCTAAATTTGTGGGATCCTCTTCAAAGTTATTATTCGCATTTATATTTAAATAAACATTATACAACAATGTGCTTTTTACCCAATTTCGCCCCTCCCCTCTCAGTAGCTCAACGGCAAGTCTGAGTGCTCACACCGCTAAAAACTGGGTTTAGATACTCGTGATGAGCACAGCACAGATAACTCATTGTATAAATTATTTTTGCTTAACAACAAAGAAAATAAACAAACAAAAGAAGATATACATCTAAGGTTTTCCCTTTGCACATGATCTCAAACTTAGTATAATCTCATAAGATATGTTTCTCTTCATATTTTAATCAGTATTATTTTGTGTGGATGACCTATCGTATTCGCGGGTTTTATTTTGGAAATAACCACCTTTTACACCGACTGATATAATCTTTAGCGTAAATCGATATTATTTAGGGAAACAACTTTATTTCTTGCTTTATTTTTATTAACATTACAAGGTTGGTTGATCTAATTAATTGGTATAATCTTTAAGAGTTGAATCCATAAACTTGGAATCAGTATATATATTTCTCGCATAATTTATAATACTAATAGAACTCTCAACGCTCGTATTAACTTGTATTATCTATGGAACTTTTCTATGTTTTTAATTGATTTACTTTTTGTAGTTTATTCCCTTAATTTATTTATTTATTATTAGAAGATCTATTCCTACCTCTTGATCACATTTGTAAACGTATTCTGTCGTATAATGTAATATTATCTTTAGTACTATAGTGTCATGCATTCAGAGACTCAATCGAAGATTGACATCACACATATACAAAAACATATATATCAAACTACACAACATTTTGGGCAAATACCTTCGTCATCTGCTATGATTAACATAACACTGTTCGAATGTGGTAGTTGTATGTAACATTCCAAATAACTCCACAATAGAAAAAAGAAATATTTTTAGTCGAAAATCATGAATATAATAATATATATTATAAATACAAAATAACATAAGAAACAAAGATAGGACAAAGTCATAATTTAGAGAACGAGCAGATCAGCATTTCTCGATACTAGAAGCCGACTCATTGCCTCCTGCAACTGCCGCGAACCACTAAAATGCAAGTACAACAAAAACCATTAAGATTTACATATGGATGTTCTGTCAGTTTTTATTTGTTTGTTTGTCTTCGTGAAATCCCCCGTACTTGCAAGGTGCTTGTGACGGACCAGTGGTTGAGAAACACTGCTTTAGATGACAGCACTATCTAATATTTACGATAACAACAAATCAGCTAGAATATGGTACTCGAAGGGTGTTACAATAAATCATTTGTTATTTTGTTTTTTATACAGGTTTGTGTGAGCAGATAGAGATTTTTTTTTTCGTGACGTTACTGTGACTTTGACCTTTGACCTAGACCCTCCAAAAACTAACCACTTCTAAGTTGGATCATAGTCCAAATGTACACCAACTTCCGTCCAAATCTATTCAGCCGTTTTTGAGAAACCTTGCTGACAAACGAACACACACGAATGAAAACATAACCTCCGTCAACCTTCGGTGGCGGAAATAAAAAGCATGTCTCTTATCAACTTTCACTATCCTTACAATTTTCATCTCGTGCAAAATATTCTAGTGGTGACGATTTTTTTTATAAATTGAATGGTCATGACAGTTTCGGGAATAATATTCTAAGAACATTATGGCAGTAACGATGAAATATATTTCAATGTAGTTGAATATACATCCTTTAAGTTTCTTTCACGTGCGTGCGATTACATCATGGATGTGTAAAAGTCAGATATAATGTGAAGGTCTAGATCGTATCTTAGAATCATAAGGCAAGATTAAAATTAACATGAGGGTCTATTCTAGTGCACATAGTACTTAAGGTATATCCAAACTAACTATAGGCTATAATTAATATTAGAAGAACGATTAAAGAAAAACTTGTGAAATCCGGACAAATCCGGATATATATATATATATACATACAGCCTTTGGTAGACTTTTTACTTATTTTCAGAAAAAAGGAGGTAATATATTAATTACCACGTAAATACTGAAAAAAGGAGGTAATATATTAATTATCACGTAAATACTGAAATGCAAATTTTCTTTCATCATCGAAAAATTGATAATGATATATGACGAACACGACACATTTGTATACAATTTATTGTTTTTTAAAACTTTTAATTTTTCCTAGCTAAAAACTAAATACGTACTATTGAAAAACATTAGGTTTATGAATACAAAAAGTCCACTAAACTTTAATTGAGAGACCTGTTTAAAACACGGTAAAGTTTTATTAACAAATAATAATTGTAATCTTGTTTTGTACATTTAAAGTGTTTTTATGGAAATCAGAACAAAGTTAGGCCTCTTCTGTTGTATTCTATAAGAAACCTAAAGTTGAATATTTATTACACTCGCTTGGTGTTCAAAGGAAGAATAAATTGATAAATAATGCCAACTGATTATTTCAGTGATCGACAGCTATTATAGAAAATGATACTTTAAACCTTAATAAGATACTTCTTTGTGTTCGATGAACTTATAGAACTGGTCTGAATGAAAATAAAACTTCTAACAAGAATGTATTTTCAATAACGACATTTATTCCTTCCTAAAAATATCAATTAAATGTGTTTCATGCTGCAACAGGAGGAATAATTTCTATATTTTTTCGATCTCTGAAAAATGCAGGAATCTATGCATTAAAAGGAAGGTTATACGGTTTAGATTTTTTAAAACTGCAAAGCACACATGTGCTTTGAGAATGAAATAATAAAAGAAGTCAGTTTTAGCTTACGTGCAGAGTTGGATTTATTTAAGGAAATGTTACAACTTTCCATATTTTTAACCTTTTCGTGTTTATATACATACGTGGTCAATCCAAAATCAAATGCTTAGTTCCTCTTAATTGTAGTGAAAAACATAACACTAAATTTAAAAAAGCGTTTGGTTTCGTGATGAAAAAACCTATTGTGAAGAAGGAAATGTGTCTGACTTTGTTCATGCAGGGGATGAGTAGGAAATAAGACAAGATAAAGGCACCAAAAAAAGAGCTTATCATTCAGATGCATTAGAAATATAATTAAATAAGTTATATTTAAAGCCTACTTCTTTCAACTGTTAGAAATAGAATTAAATAAGTTATATTTAAAGCCTACTGCTTTTAACTGTTAGAAATAGAATTAAATAAGTTATATGTAAAGCCTACTTCTTTTAACTATTAGAAATAGAATTAAATAAGTTATATTTAAAGCCTACTGCTTTTAACTATTCACAACCTAAAGAAAAATAATAAAAACAGTTAGATCATCTTATTTAAGACGTATATGTTTGATGTAGTTATGTGTCGTGGGGAGAAAAAAGGTGTAAATACGTTGTTAAAGACTTCTGTACTAAACACTGCAGATGCATATACAACTACATCAATAGAAATCATTATTCAGATACAACCACCGCTCATGCAAGACATACACGTATATTATACACACACTATTCAAATATATGTATGTGTCTACGTTACACGTATGTATATATATGAACAGAAAATGAAAATGGAATAAACAAATAAAAGCTTATAGTAGCTATATTTACGTTTCTAGTTGGATTGTCAATAGTTACCTGGGATTTAAAAATAAGTGATGTGGATTTTCAATAATATTCTTTATTTCAAAATATAAAAAATAACACTAACCATGTAATAGTGAGTGTAAAAACATCTGATATATCAAGAATTTAGAAACGTTCGAATCATCTGTTCATCTCAAACGAAGTCTAAGTTTCTATAAATAAGAACATGCTGTTCATCAAGTTGATATGAAGTTAAATAAATATAATATAATATATAATAAATATTAGTATAACTGAGCTGAGGATATATTATTGTTCTACTTATCAGCAAGTATATACAGAGTGAAATCTGCCGTATAAAACTGAGAAGACCACAACACTTATGAAATAATAGTTTGCTTGTTTGTAATTAAGCACAAAGCTACACAATGGGCTATCTGTGCTCTACCCGCCACGGGTATCGAAACCCGGATTCTACCGTTGGAAGTCCACAGACATACCGCTGTGCCACTGGGGGGGGTGCGAAATAATAGTAAATAACAATATATCTATTTTGCAGTTAGAGAACTCTGGTGATCCTCTAGACTTTGACAATGCCCACAATCTATCCTATTGGGAATGTGTCTACTTTCTTATTGTCACGATGTCCACTGTGGGCTACGGTGATATCTTCTGTAAAACGACACTAGGAAGGGCGTTCATCGTGTTCTTCATCTTAGTAGGTTTGGTAAGTAAACAAATGACATTTGCTGCAAATTATTCAAAAAAAGAAAGTTTAATTTACCAAATTAGATTTTACTGTATGGTATATAGAACTTAATACTGTAATACTTCTTCAAGCATTGTTTATTGTTTGCTATTTATCCCTTAGAAATTATAATTGTTACATAATGTATTCGATATAACTTTGAACTAAAAAGTTAATCTAAAATATTTACATATTATATATATATATATATATATATATATTTATAATGCAGGGAAGTTTTTTGCTTAGGTATAAATAAAAAAGCTTTTTCAATTTCCGGTTCTATCACAAATTTCTCGTTTAATAGTTAATGTTGTTGTTTTGTAGTTAAAATGTGAATTTATTTTTGGAACATAAAATTTGTTATCTTCATTTTGTTACATGTCTTTTCTCGGCCTTAATGAATTAGTTTTACGCTTTAGTCTGATAGGAAATGATTGGGCTCAATAGTTTTTTTTTTTAATATGTTTGATTATTGCCATAATCACAGGTTTTAAGTATTTTTTTATGAAGCCAATAATTTTTTACGGCTTACAAGCACTTCTCAACCATTTTATGAATTTTTTTGGTCATTTATTGCTCGAGAATCCCTACTTTTCAACAAACTTGGCTTAAAATTCGTATGCAACACTTCAGTTACTTTATTTTACTCTTGCACAGAGTTAATATTTTTGCACACATATATTCTATCATTAATTTAATTACCATACTCCTAACCAGAATTAGTTTTAGTTTATTATCAGCATGAAATTTCCTTGATAATCTTCTTCTAATTATATGAAATTTTCTTTATATTTCGAACTCCTACCTTTTTATAAGTTTTACATATTTTTTTCTAAATCTTTCTTAAGCTTTTTTTTGTGGGCTTTCTAGTCAACTTAATACTAGTCCCTGAATGTACTAGTTAATTCAGCTTGTGAAACATAGGGTTCCGTGAATGATGCTTGAAATTATTTTCATTATTTGTTATCTTTTTTTTTCTTATTCTCATAGGCCGTCTTTGCCAGTTGCATTCCAAAAATTCTAGAATTAGTTGGGACTAGACACAAATATGGTGGTGAATACAGACGAGAGCATGGGAAAAGGTAGACACCGCCCAACCTTTCCGTCTTAGTTTGGCATGCTCTTGTTTTGTGGCGCTAGAGGGTGTACCAGTAAAGTCAAAAACTGGTACATTTACTGTATTTTCTATATATCTGAGTGCAGACTAGCCAGTTATTAGCAACCGTGTGTGGTGGAAGTTTGCTTTATTTGGACCTACTGGTTCACTTTGCTCAAGAATTATTATTGTGTAAATGTAATGTTAAGATTTCAAATTTTCTCCAGTATGAGCATATTGAACATTATGTTTTTGTTTCGTTAGCTTTAACTGGTTAGTCTACACGATTTACTACTTAGCTGCCTGTGTGATGTTACATGCCATTAACTGAGTAATACGTCTGCCAAATGTTTCTATCATACTTCTGATTTTTTCATATTTATTTGCTTTTTACTTGCAAATTCAAATATGATAGGGATACTTTTGGGTAGCTGTTAACTGTTAGTATATTTCTGGGATCAGAGCTAGTGGAGTGTGAAAATGTTCAAATCTGTTTTGCCATTATATGGGTTGCTAATGATCTCTTTGAGCTAAAACGTTATTTCTCTTCCACTTTTCTTCGCTTCTTTGCTTATGTGTGGTTTATCTCTGTCTGCACAACCTGACATCTGTTTTGTGCACGTCATGTGATCGCCATTCGCTCAAATGTAGGCAGTATTTGCTAGCTGTATTCCGGAAATCATCGACCTGATTGGCTCTCGACCAAAGTATGGTGGAACATTTAAATCCGAAAGAGGAAGAAGGTAATGTTATTATAATTTTGTCTTACTCCTGCTCCTGCTGGATTTGCCTATCAACCTCTTTAGCATGTTCACTTTTTAGATAAATGATCTAACCCTAATATACAACGTGCTGTTGAGGTTCGCCAAAAATTCACGAAAATCAACGAATCCTAATTTTGTGTCTTTGGCACGTTTATAGGAAGAGCTAATTCTTATAATCATCGAATATATATATTAAACTTTTAAATGATGAGAAATTTAAAATAATCGACAATCTTTATTCAGAACTTTAAAACTGAAATTAAATTAAGATAATTGAAAAATACTAATATTTTTAAATGCAAAAAATAAACTTATTATTTTCATAAACATTTTAGATCTTGTATCGAAAACTTTCAATGATTTCCATAGTTTTGTTTTTTCTCTAATAAAGCAAACTATTTCATTTTATCAATCGTATTTCTACACCTAAAATTTCCTTTTCCAAGTGAAACACCAAAACATTCAAACAAACCTCTTACAGCAGCGTTTTCCAAACTTTAAATAACGGCGCAAAGTTACCGTTGCGCCCCGCTTCACATTAAAATACTTTTCGCAAGTGATAACAACAAAATCGACATTTTCTTTACCTGTTTTTAAATTTTTAATGAAAAAAATACTTCTAAGGAGTGAGTAAATACGAGAGCAAAAACAAAATGCTTTGAGATCAAAGTGATGGTTTTGTTAGGTTATCGTGGTCTTCTATTCTTCTGTTTCGGTCCCTCGGTGGGACAGCAGTAAGTTTACGGTCTTACTACGCTAACATCCGGGGGTTCGATTCCCCATGACGGACACAGCAGATAGCCTAATTTTACCCGGCATGGCCAGGTGGTTAGGGCGCTTGACTCGCAATCTGAGCGTCGCGGGTTCGAAAACTCGTCCCACCAAACATGCTCACCCTTTCAGCCGTGGGGGCGTGATAAAGTTACAGTCAATCCCATTATTCGTTGGTAAAAGAGCAGTCCAAGATTTGGCGGTGGGTAGGGATGACTAGCTGCCTTCCCCCTAGTCTTTCACTGCTAAATTAGGGACGGATAGCGCAGTTAGCTCTCGAGTATATTTGAGTATATTTCTTCCGTCGTTATTTTTGGGCTCTCTCGCCTAAAGCCCCCACCACCAGTCACCAGTACGCGAACCACAGTATGGAAAACTTCTAATGCTCTAGAATATTTTATATTATTATAAAAATTATACAGATACTTTTTTCTCAGAACTACTTAAACCCAACACCAATAAACGTGCTTTGACTGGAATTCATGGAAAACAGTCTACAACCCGATTGGCCAAGGTAAATTCAATTGTTTCACCTGTATCGAGAAAACAAAAAAGCTCAAGGCTTTACAAAGTTATACTGATAATTTATATTGGTCATATTTCGTAAGCACATTAAGTACTCGCGTGACACAAACGCATATAGTTCGTATAATGTAAGAAGTCAATTGAGTGAAGGCCATGTTTTACATCTAATATTTCCCAGCCATTTTGTCTTCTTAATCATTTATTTTTTCGTAACTTAAAGGCACATCGTCGTATGTGGTCACATTACCTATGAATCGGTTTCCCACTTTCTCAAAGATTTTCTTCACGAAGATCGTGAAGATGTGGATGTGGAAGTTGTCTTTTTACACAGGTATTTAATTTTTTTAATGTTCAGCTGCATAATTAATTGAATCGTAGAAATTGTATTGATTTTTTTTTATTAGTTTTCAACATTGTTTATACGAATGTCATCTGTATTTTAATTATTCTATAATACTAAAGCTACCATTACTTATGTGTTAGTATTTCATTACGTCTGCTTAATACATGCTGCTTTGGAATATTATCTGAAATATTTAATTTTCTGTGATAATTATAGATTTTATACTTTGATCTTTGACTTTGAGATAGAATACACGGAATAAATCTGCAAGAAAAAAAAAGTGTTATTTTAATTTTCTCTAATTTGCGTTGGTTAGAGATAAACGAAAGTGTACTTTACTCTTTATTTTTCTACTTTAATAACTTAAGAAAACCACCAGATTTGGAGCTCGAAGGTCTGATAAAAAGGCACTTCACCACAGTGGAGTTCTTTCAAGGCACGGTTATGAATCCTATCGATTTACAACGAGTAAAAGTAAGTAAACAAGAATATTTATTGGTTTTTGAAATGTTACTTAAACACAAATAAATCTACCAATTCTAAACTTGTAATATTAAAGCTTGTTATAATAAATATTTATGTATTGTTGTTCTTGAAATGCTCGTTTGCTTGCTATATTCTCACAGAAAATATGTGCGCGTAAGATAAAGATAGTTGTAAATAGTATAACCAAGGCAAGAAGTTATGGATTAACTATACGTCACAACATGCTCTGTTTGATTTATATTAGATCCGTATATAAGGCGAGTAAAAGCAATACTTCTAAAGTTTTTTGTTTAAAGCAATTTGTCTGTTTAAAACAATGAATTTGCCCACCATATTACTCACGCATATTGGATAAAAACATTGTGATCATGTATGGTTTACACTAAGTACATTATGAATAAGTAAAGTTCGTTTTATCCTATGTAACAGAAACCTTAGCAAATAAAGAACTAATTTTTGCAGCAAATGTTTAATTTTTATTAGTTAAAGCTTTTACCTTTTGCAAGGATAAGGAACAGCAGCGTTTCTAGCTCCAGTAATGAATTGCCTTAATTATTCATGCGCTATTCATTTTTAAGTTGCATTTTCGTCTATGTATGTATGTGTGTGTGTATATATATATATATATATATATATATATA